ATCTGAAGATAATGCAGAAAAATGCTCAGAGGATAAGGATAACTTGCCAAAAAGAAAACGCTCTCGGTTAATTAATAGTGTTTTTAGTGATGACGAAGAAAACATTGTTTAATTTATATTAATATGTATCACTTAAAAAATTTTAATGAAGATATTTATCTTAATTATGAAAATATACTAGCATGTTTTTTAATTTTTGGAACCTAACCCTCCTTTTCGTATTAGTTCTTTGTTTCGTATAACACGGATTCGCATAACACGGCAATTTTTTGGAACGTAACTACCATGTTATACGGGGGTTACCTGTACTGAATTATACTGTAAAAATATAAAATAAATTAGTTTTCACATTACTTAGTTTTGTTTTATTTATTATTTTATATTTTTTTGTGTGCTCTTTTTCTTGTGGGCGAGGGAGGGGCCTAATAAAAAAAATGTCTAGGGCCCCAAAGTGGGTTAATCCGGCCCTGCCTATAGCATCCATGATGTTATATTTTTTCCAAAATTGTACAAAACAAACATAGATTTAAGAGAAGTACAGCGCTACGATGAATTGCCACCTTTTGCTGATTGGTTCGTGTTCATAAATAATCGTATTATTTACAATCAATGAAATGACGCGATAATTTGAATTGGCGCAAATTTTGAGCTTTTTCTTTTTTAAGGCTACAAGCAGACCGCGTTATGTCGAATCAGCGTTAATAGATGCAGCGTTTAGCGGGTCTTACTGTATTTATTTTTAATTAAAAAACTAAAAATAAAATAAATTTAATGTTATATCTCGAATTTTAATACATTGAAATATACTTTTTACATTAACATTAATATTCATATTAAAGAAAATCATTTAAAAAATAACTTGATAGTCAAAAAGTTGAGATATAAGATCTGCCATTCCGGAGGATCCGAGTTCGAAATCGGTTTTAAACCAACCTGTGGTTAAGTCCGGGTTTACCACATGAGAAATTATGAATAGAAGACAAATTTATCTAAAAACAAGGAAATCGTGATTGTGTTTGAACAGAGAGAAGAGATTTTTTTTAAAAGTCAAAATGGAAGACATGTCTACCTTTAGAGTACAATATGGTAATACTAATTAAGCCGGACATATCTATCCAGCTATTGTGAATGGCCGAAGCCATGATGAGCACGATTATAAAAAAGAAAAGTCCTTTAGTACCAACAGAACGAAAAGAATATAAAACAAAACGTTATCTTAAAAAGCAAAGTTTTTAAGGAACTATCTTCTTGTATTGATGGAAAGAGCCTACTGAAAGAATCTAAATTTCAATTTACAGAAATCTTCACGATTAATACATGCCTCTAAGATGGTCAGCCACTGTTGCAACGTTATTTGCTGTATGTGATACTGTATAACGAAGTAAAGAAGTGGGCGGAACGGCTAATTTCTATTCTTAAATTTCTTCACTCGTATAAAATGTAACTGGCAACATGCTCCAAATCATCTCGCAGTAAGCGATCCGGCAGCAGTCGATCAATCGGTGATAAAATTCATGTTTCTTATAATTTTTTGAATTTTATTTATTTTATATCGTAAGTAAAAGATACTTTTATGGTATTTTATCAATAAAATTAGAGTGAAAGTTTATCCTTCATATGGTGTTAGGTCATCATTTAGAAGCATATGATGCCTGTTAACAGCTCCACGTGTTATCGCATCTTTTTTATTAAAATTTTTAATATGCTATTTCTATATTGTTCGAATGATATAAAGTGAGGTAAAACGAACAAAAAGCACATAAGGAAGAGCACTGCCATTCAATACAAATTGATATTCAGATTAAATTTTCTAATTAATCTGGATCTTTTTCTATCCGGTCACATGGATCGGACAGAAGATGCAGTGAATCACGTGGATATTCGTTCATATAGCATAAATAAATAATAAAAAAGATATTTTTAATACAAGACGGTTAATATTTTGGAATGCTTTAAGAAGAAGCTTTCTAAATAAGTAAAATAGCCAAATACCTATTATATCAATATTAAAATGAAACAAACTAAATGACATTAAATCTTGCAAAAGAAATTTCACATCACATGGATGTCATTCATATAAGATGGTATATAAAATAAATTTAAAAATAACATATAATTAGAAATTTTCAATATTTAGTTAGATATTTCATACATTTTCTCACTTCTCTCAAGGTTTTTTGCACAGAAAAAACAAGTGTTTTTACATAAATCTTGACTTATATATTTCTATTCTGTAGTTAGTTTCTCCTTCAATTCATTATTATTATTATTAATTTTGTATTTTTTCTTACATAACAAATTCATACTGTAAGTGTTTGATGACATTAGATCTGGTGACTGCAGGCGTATCCAGTACTTTTAGACAATTTTAAATTACCCACAAAGCAAACATTAAGTGTCATGTATTTCAGATCATTTTAGACCATAACAGAACCTTCTGCATGCTTAAATATCGGTAGAATACTTTTGCTTTGTGTTTCTCTACTTGGCTTCCTTCTTATTATCTGAGCCAAATAGACAACTTGTCATTGCTTAAAATAACATCATTTCAAAGTCAAGTTTTTGTTAAGTAATTTAAATTTTCAAAAGTAACTTTCTTCTGTCTACATGTAGTTTTTCAAATTTTTCTTTCAAGGAAATTATGCCTACTTGATACTCTGAAGAATTGACTGATTGTCTTTCCAGTTTATGTCTGAAGCAAAAAAGCCAATTTGAGAGCAAAGTTCAGGATTCTTCTTGAACTGTCTAATAACCTATCTTTTGTTGTAATCATTTAGTAAGAGTTTAGGACTTGATTTTACTATGTCAGAGATCTGACCTTATTTATATCTCTTTATAATATATTGAATATAAAGAGATTGTTCCAACTATTCAATATAAAGATATATTGAATAGTTGGAATCATTTCTAACAGTTTCTGAGATTTGAGTGATAGGAGCTCAATGTTGTGTTTTTACTAATTTCCAATATTGTTAATTATAACCAATATAAAAACTGTGTGAAAAATAAATAATTTCTACATTATTTATCTGCTAATATTTTTGTGCTGTATGAACAGTTATCCATGTGATTTACTATATCTCATCACATACAAAACAACTAAGATTTGAATTTCAATACATTCAAAATCTATATCAATTGAAAATGTTTAATCTATAAATTGAAATATTCAATAGAAAAACTTATTACTCAGTGCTAATTTTTTGCTGTCAAGTTTTGATTATTTCATGTAACTACATGTAAAAAATTGCATTATCAAAGCATGCAACAATACTTGTACCTTGCATAAATTTATTTAGTGATCAAACTCTTAAATAGTATCATTTGGCTGTATTCAACCTCTGATACATTTAAATAATTTAATTCTTAAACTGTACTAATGAATTTTGTGTAATTCAACAATATTGTAGATTTACATTACATATTCAATTATTATATTTAAAACATTTTTTCATTAATAGATTATCATGAAGTATATTCTGGTAACTGGAGGTGTCATTAGTGGAATTGGTAAAGGAGTGATAGCAAGTAGTATTGGGACTATTTTAAAAGCATGTGGATTGAGAGTGACATCAATCAAAATTGATCCTTACATTAATATTGATGCAGGAACTTTCTCTCCTTATGAGCATGGTATGTATCATATTATATTTTGATCATATTTTTGTTTCTTTAAAACAAGAAACATATATTTTTTATAAGTCTAATATTTATTTTAAAATAAATTAGGTGAAGTATTTGTACTTGATGATGGTGGAGAAGTTGATTTAGATCTTGGGAATTATGAAAGATTTTTGGATATTACCTTACATACAGATAATAACATTACTACAGGAAAAATTTATCAGCATGTTATTAATAAAGAAAGAAGAGGTGATTATTTAGGGAAAACAGTTCAGGTAATGATAACTATAATGACATATTATATTTCATATATAAGTCAATTGAAATATCAATTTTTCACTCTTCATAAAGTATACAAAAAATGTTTAATGCTTTAATAATCTGGTTTTACAAAATTATAAATTATGCATACATATTTATTTAAATAAATAAATTTATTATACTTTCTAAATTCTGAATCAATATTTGTAACAAAATAAAACTGAATTTATATAATAAAATCTTTAGTAGGAATTTTATGATAATATATAAAAACATGAAAAGTAAATGCAAGTTGTAAAATACTGTAGTTACTCACATATAAGATGAGGTTTTAATTAGGTTGTCCTATACGCATGAGCGAAAGATTCTTTGCAATTTTGCAAATAATTTTTTGTGAACCATGTATTCGCATTTTTTACTGGATGTTTAACCTCTTGTATTTAGAAACATAAGTATTTTATCTGGGTTGTTTACTCCTGACAATATACAAGAACAATTTAAAGATGAATAGCAATAGGAAAAGCAAAGCTTTTGAACTGAATTCCAGATTGAAATTCCAAAATCATACAGGAGTCCAATATAAGTTTTAATCCATTCCCACATGAAAGCAGATGATTATTCGGAAATCAGAATTCAGAGAAACTCATAAGTGTAATTGACGGAGAGTGGATTTAACTGTTAAGAATTGGCAAAAATGGTTCCTGATTGTCCAGCTTTACATAAACAAATTATGTTGTCAATTTTACAAGATTTTTCCTTAAAGTTTAAAATGCCAGTAATTTTTGCAGGACAATGTGTGCATTTATGTTCATTTGATATTTTACTTGTGATTAAATGAAATAAAATTAGAATTGTATTAATAAATTTGATTTTCTTTATTTTGATCTTTAAAGTCACACCATGTCCTATATGCGAGATCATCTTATATGTGAGTAAATACGGTATATAAAAATTTTGTTATATTTCATATACATAACACTTCTGATGAATTGAATTGTGTAAATTAATATGCCACAATGTCCTTAATTTATTATAATCTTATTTCTATATATAATCTTTATTGTTTTATTTAATTTACCTGTAAATTAAATAAAACAATTTATTTTTAAAATTTATTATTTTTAAGGTGCTGCTATAACTAATAAATTAACATATAAGATATATAATTATAATAGTACCTTTTCAAACTTTTAATAATTATGCTGAAAGTAGTAATAGAGTAATTGTAGAAAAAATTGTTAGATGACAAAGTGTAGTATTGATAAAATAGACTTATAATTTATATAATATGAGAAATTAAGAATCAGTTTAAAATTTGTTTAAGATTGAAGTGTAATTAGATATAGCAAAAATTTTTTATAACAGAAGCTTGTTTTCCAAATTGCATTATCACAAATTCCAGTTTCAAGAAATAATTTAAAATCTGGCTGAAAATATACTAATGCAGTGGTACAGAATATGTCTAATTGTATGAATGAACTTTTGGGAAATTAAGGCAGTCTTGGAGAAATATTTAGTAGAAAAAATTATATTATGGCAAGAGCCGAAAAAAATGAAACAGCTTCTCAGCTATGCTATAGACATTAATTGGGGAAATTAGCCAAAATGTAGGAATTTTGTATTTTAGAACTAAAGTTAGAATGTTTACTTTGTTTCTAATCAATTCACTCACTTGTTACATTGCTGCCTATTTACATTATTTTGTGATTGCAGTAAGGATGAGATAGTCTTGGTTACCAAACTATAGATTTAGTTTTTAAGCAAAACCAAAACAGAGCTTTAAAAAGAATCGAAAAAGATAATCCATTTTCATCAAAAATGCCTTTTGACAATACAGCTGTCCCTTGATAGTCCGACGTTTTGTAATCCGACATGCTCAGTAGTCCAACGCACTTCCTGTCAAGGTACCCATCCCCGTTACGTGTCTGCTTGCACAGAAGCTTGTCGCGACGTGAATCTCCCCATCCAATTCTTACACGATGACACACATTTCGTGTGTTTTCCGTGAGCAGTTCTGTTCGAACAGTTGGAGTAGGGAATATTGTAGGCTACTGCTAGCAAAATAATGCCAAATATGTAATCACTTTCGGTAATCTGGACATTTTTGGTAATCCAACATCCCTTTGGTTCCATACCTGTCTGATTATCAAGGGACAGCTATATTTATTTAATGGGTAAAATTTCATATATTTACTCATTCTCCCATACAGGAAATTTTCAAAATTAAATGTGCTTAAAAACTTCTTATGAATTGTCTTGATTCATTAATTTAAATAGCTAAATAGAAGTTTAGCATAATTTTATAAACATTATTTCTATTTTTTTCATATTTTTTCATAGATTTATTACAAAATGAAAAATATTAATGTCAAAAGATAATTTAAAAGATTATAAAAATATGGTTGCATGTTTGATAGTAATAATGAATATGTAAGTCAAAAACTCTAAGAAGTTTATCTTTTTGAAAAAATTGGTGCATTTGTTAAATAATTTTTCAGAAAAAAATTGTACAACTATCATCATTGTAAAGAAATTTTGTTTTTTTGGACTTCAAAAAGTCTATTAATTAGCACTCATGCTAAAACTAGATCATTTGTGGCATTTTTGAGATTTCAGTTTTATTTCTATTAATCAACAATATTACATCAAGTTTATAATTGTATGTGCTACCTTATAGTGATGGCATGTACTTATATTAAAGTGTTCTTTTAATTGAAAAAACTTTTACATTAATTTATGAATTTAGTATTGTCTGGAAAAATTACATGATAGAGCTGTTTAATTATTTGTATGATTTAGTTTAAATTTTCCAAATTACATAGTAATAATTATTAATAGTTCTAGCTACAAATGCATAGAAATTAATTGATTCTTAAATTGTTTTATTTTGTATGCTAGTGTGCAATAATTTTCAGGAAAATTTTGTGTGTTCTAGGAAATTTTGACTCCTGAAAATATTCTGTATATCTGTACCAATGTTTAATTACTTTTTAATTAGAGTTTATTTATTTAAAATTTAATACTGGAAGGTGAAATAGTTTAATTTATATTCAGTGGCAGTATCTGTAATTGTGAGGTTTTCAGTCTGCAGCTAATTCATCATTTTATATTTAGTTTGTGTTTATTCATGTTCATGATTTGTACTATTGCTGCTATGCTATTTAAGCACTGTTTGTAATTCTATGAAATGTATTCTTGTTATACTCTGAAAGGAACTGTGTTACAATAGAGAATATCTTTTTTATTATACATTACTTTATTCTATGGTTTTAATATGTTTCAATTAGTAATATTCAATTTGATTTTATTTCATGTACAATAATTTTCATATATATATGAAAATTACTGTATTTATTTATTTATATATATATATATATATATATATGTGGTGTCCGTCCCCCACGTTGTCATGATTTGGTCAAGTCCGATGTTGTGTGCAGGCATTCGGGGCATGCAGGAAAAAAGACAAACCATTAGAATCATGATGTAACATGAATGACGTGTCAGCTCAAAGACGATAATATTTGTTCAATAATTAGTATTAAAATAATTTATTTAGTATTCTTCATTTGTAATGTATTTTTTGTGTATCGTATTAAAATATACTCATTATATATCATAAGAAGTTCTTCATATTCTTTCTTAAACTGTGTTTTGCTTATGCTTCTTAACACCCAGCCCAGCCATCTTTAGACATCCACATATATATATACAGTCGACCCCCTATAACATGAGTTCCTATAGTTTGGATTCCTATATCACGGCGAAAAAATTGTGACAGTATTCGTACAAACATGCTAAAAAACTCCTATAATTCGGTAAAATGTCATCACCAACTCGTGACAGGATTGGTCGAATCTAGACCAATAGCGGATATTGCACAAACCATTGAGTTTAAATGAGCAGCAGACCTACTAAAAACCATTTATTATTTAATGTCCATAAAAATTATATTTATATTAATGATGTCTCTAAAGTTCAGCGAATTTTTCGCAAAAAAAATAATTTATCAGGAAACACGCGAGCGCCATTCAATGACAATCTCCACGACGAAAACAAGCTTAAGCAATAGCGTCGTCAAACGGTGCACACTCAGTAAGTAATCCTACAATTTTTTGTTTATAGCATAGTTTATGTGGCTTATTCCCAAAAAATTATACATGTTTTGAAAATGTTGAGCCAAATTAGTCTAGAATNCAGCGAATTTTTCGCAAAAAAAATAATTTATCAGGAAGCAAGTGAGCGCCATTCGATGACAATCTCCATGACAAAAACAAGCTTAAAGAATGGCGTAGTTGAACAGTGCACACTCGGTAAGTAATCTTACAACTTTTTGTTTATAGCATAGTTTATATGGATTATTCTCAAAAAATTATACGTATTTTGGAAATGTTAAGTCGAATTAGTCTAGAATCGATTAATTTTATGGAAGAAACCTTTCAAACATCCATAGTCCGTAAACTGCATACGTGCCGGGCTGTGATTGGCTGGATTCGTAGAAAATGGATTCATAAAAATCGGAACATATCTACCGTGTTATAGGGGGGTCAACTGTATATATATTATATATATATGTTTGTATATCATATCTTTAATCTTTAATTCTGCAAGTGTTTTTTTAATTCTAAATAGTTGAAATTTTCCAAAATTTTAGAATTTTTTTTTTTGAAATTGGATTTGGTCTTATCATCTTTAGATGAAAAAAATGTTTTCTGTATTTATAAACTAGATTATGATAGCTCTTGAGTTAACTGATGTATCAGGTGTACAATCAGATTAATAGTCAAACATACTGCAATGTCCATGTTAAAATCATATGTTAAAATTCTGTCAACATTCTGGAAAATATATCACTTGATATTTTATTCATTTAATTTAAATAGTATGAAAATTTATTTTATAAACAAAAAATTTTCAAGTTATTTAAACATTCAGATTAATTTAAACAGTTCAGAAAAATAATGTGATCATATAAGATAATCATACTTACTTTTTAGTAAACCACACATTGTAATTATTTCTTTATTGATTAAAATTTTTATAGTAAAATGGTTTTGAGATAAATTTTGCTATAAATCTGTATTATAACATTAGTTTTAAAAAAGACTTAAATTGATCTTTTTAAATTTGGTTTTAATATGTTTTTGTTTTTATTAGAAAGATATAATATTAATCTATTGCTTGAAAATTATTAATTTTTAATAATTTCACCCATTAAAAAATTTATTTATCTAGATTTGGTTTTCTTTAGCTTATTTGAGAAATTAATGGTTTCATTTTCTATAAGGTGGTGCCACATATTACAGATGCTATACAAGAATGGGTGGAACGAGTTGCTCAAGTTTCAGTAACAAAAGATGGTGATATTCCTGAAGTTTGTATCATTGAAGTAAGAAATAAAATTTTCTCAATATATTTAAAAATCAAACATTATTAAGAAAAATTTTTAATAACATTATAATTACTTATTTTAAAAAATAGATACCAAAAAAATATTGAATATTTTATAAAATAACTATTTATTTTATAATGTTACTACAAGTTTGTAGTTGAATTGATTTAGATATAGTTAATTTATATACACTTAATTTATATAGTAATTTATATTTATTTAACTCTTTATTCTGTACTTGAGTGGATTACAATACAGGATGATGATACACTTGGAAAATGAAGAAAACTGAAAATATTCATGACATTTTATATTCGCATAGAAATCAGGGAACTTATTGGAAAATTTTTAATAATGCTGCTTAAGAAAATTTTCAATTTTTAAATAAATTGAGATAATCCAAACTATTGGAATATTTATTTAATATTTTATCCTGAAAGTAACTATAAATAGAGTAATTTAATAATCAAATCTTATGAGATTTTTAATCTCAACTACTGAAATACTTCAACATCCATATTAAACTATCTTAAAATTCTGCCAAACCATGACAAAATTTTCCTAGCAGATATTTTCAAGTAATACTTACTTTACATCAAATTTTTTTAAATTGATATAAAGTAAGTTTTATTCAAACAACAGACATAGAACCAATTTCCGGTTTGTATAATACAAAAAAACGAACACTGTATATTTTCCAACTCCTTTTGAGTTCTTCAGGTACAACAGAATGGTTACCCAGTGGAATATTATCGGAACAAACATTTATTTGCAAACATTTCTTAAAACAATGTAATTTGGACAACTTTTCAAAACTATAAATATAAATTTAATGCCACGAAGGCATTATCATGTCCATAACAATCATTCAATTAACCACTATAATAACGGCTTACCAGGCCATTGACAACACCATTTTCTCCTTAAAATTTAAAGATGACTCAGTTAGCTTTAAAAAAATTTCTATGCCTCCAGCCATCTGAGATGTATTCTCCTTCTCATAGAACATTTAGTGGACCCAAAATACAAGAATATATCTCAGACATGTAACATGCCAGAATATTCACAGTTCTCTTGTATACAGCAGAACCGGATACAGTTGCAGACTTTACTTGGGTGAAACTCCTCTTCACAATATAGCACTCAGAACATCTCAGATGGTTGGAGTTTATAGAAATTTTTAAAGTTAACTTTGAGTCATCTTGTATAAATTTTAAGGAGGAAATGGTGTTGTCAATGGCCTGGTAAGCCCTACTTAACACATTATAGTGGTTAATTGAATAATTGTTATGGACATGACAATGCCTATGTAGCATTAAATTTATATTTATAGTTTTGAAAGGTGGTTTGAATTACATTGTTTAAAAAACTTTTTACAAATAAACATTTGTTCCAATAATGTTCCATTGGGTAACTGTTCTGTCACATCTGAAGAACTCAGAAGGAGTTGAAAAACATTTGTGCAGTGTTCATTTTTTGTATTATAGGTACTGTAAATTAGTACTGCGTGTGCTGTTATATATATCACAGTGTGGGGTGGTATATTTGAATTTTTAAAATTAATTTATAAATTTTAGATACGTTTTTTTAATTAAAAATATTTTGATTTAGTTATTTTAACTTAAACTTAAAAAAATAATAAAAGAACACAAAATTTATTATTATACGAAAATGGTATTAAATTTATAATTATAGATTAACCAGGTTATTCTATAATTATAAATTTATTAATATATAATTTGTCTATTGGTATTAATTTGGCATTAATGTAAAAATTTTGGAGAAGGAAATGCAAAGTATTTTTAAAGAAATACAAGAAGGGTAAACTTTTAGCATAAAATTTTGAACTTGCATTTTTATTTTGAATAATTTTCCTGTAAATTAATATTATTGATATTTAATTGGGCTGCAATTTTTAAATTGCAGATCTGTAGATTCCCACTGTTGTCCATCTTAATCTCGAGTGGAGTTAGATAGATCCAAATCAAGACCAGATATGGAAAGCTTAAGGGCCAGAGATCTCAATTAACTACAGTATCCCTTGACTAACGTGGTTAATTAATCTTTCGATGCCACTGCGTATATCAAAATTGCATTAATCATGACTTTAGCACATTATTTAGCACAAATTTTTGGCTAATAATAAATATTTTTATTTTAATTGTTTTATTAAACTGTGTTATGTCAGCAAGCTCTGCATTAGTGTAATGATGCATGTTGCTCAAAATTTGTGCGGGGAATGACTATTCAAGCCAGCAAGGCGCTTTCATCCACCAAACTCAACAGTGCCCTCTCACTGCATTTCTGCATCCACATTCCTATACAAAATCTGCTTATTTAGGTCCACTCTACCTGCCTTTACATTTTTGGCATATAGTTTTGAAACACCCTGTATATATTTATATGTAAATATTATTAAAGAAATAAAGAAATATGTATCAAATTTATGAATATTTTCTATTTCTAAAAATATTCTTTTTTATGAATGTTTTCTATATCAATTTTATTTCAGTTAGGTGGCACTATAGGTGATATTGAAGGTATGCCTTTTGTAGAAGCTTTTAGACAATTTCAGTTCCGAGTCAAAAGAGAAAATTTTTGCTGTGTTCATGTCAGTTTAGTTCCACAGGTAATTTTGTTCCTCTTTTGATAGATGAATCTTATAAAGAAAAATTTTTTAAATTATATATCTTATATTTTGCTACTACAGTTAGTATTTGGTATACACTTCAGTCAATAGTCTTAAATTATTTTCCAGTAAGGTTTAATTTGAAAAAGTTTTTTCGACTAATGTTTTTGATCTGTAATTGGAGATCATCTTCAGGTCTTGATTCTATATTTGATGACTGAATCATTAAATCAAAAAATGATATTTTTTTTGAAAAATTAAACAAAAGATATTCTTGAGATTTTATATATTAAAATAGAAATAAAAGTAACATTAAATATAATATTAGAAAATATACGATTAAAATAAAAATTTGAAGACTGTCTAACAATAACTGAAAACTTTTTGTTATAATATAACTTTTTATTGTATTATAATTTAAGGTTGCTGATTGAAGTGTTTACTACATCATTCCAGCCTAATAACTGGTGTTTTATATCTTTATTAGGTATATTTTGATTTTTAAAATGTTTTCTTAAATTTATGTTCTCAAAATTTAAAATACAGTAAAAGTTTGATTAAATTTTTGTATATAAAATTGTTATAAAACTTTCTTGAAACAAGTTTTTTCTTTTTTGAAATTAACATTTTTATGAATATTTTCATTTGAATCTTATTTAACAAATACTACATACTGTACTTGTAACTTTTAAATGCCAAATTCAGATACTCGTGAAACCTTTAAAAATAGCAAAAAGAATTTAATTACAAACATTTTCAGTCATTTTTAAAGACCATCTTCAAGTAGAAATGACCAGAAATCTTTGTAACCTTTACAAGTTTGGTTTTAAATGCCAAAGTAATAGTAAAGATTTTTTCTAACATATTAGGAAAATATTTACTCTTATTTTAAAAATAGATGATGGGAAGAGGCCTAAAGAACAGCATTATAGAAAATTGAAAATTGAATTATTTACAAAAATTATAAAATTTTTGAGTCTATCTTTCATCCTTTTAACACACTACAGAAGTAACAGTATATTGGCTTAAATAAACTTCTGTAGAACACTGACAAATTATAAAAAAAAAACACACAAAGTTAAAAATGATCAAAGCACTGACCTTTTATTTGAGGATTCGGTGTCCTTTAACATTAAAACAATGGTTACAACTTCTGACCATAACTACCATGTTCTTTAACATAATATATAATTTGTTCTACGGAAGTTTATTCAAGCCAATATACTGTTACTTCTGTGGTGTATTAAAAGGATGAAAGATAGACTCAAAAATTTTATAATTTTTGTAAATAGTCATAATTCAATTTTTAATTGAAGATATCCTGAATTGTTATTACGTTATCATGTATGCTGTTAAGCATTATAGAAGAAAGTCCAAGTAGCTGACATTTGGGGGATTAAAATCACTATTTTCCTATACTGTGTTATATTAAAAGGCTATGCCAAGCAAACAATATAGGAAATTAGTGATTCATATCACCCAAACATTGGCTATTTTGGATTTTCTTCTATTTACTCTTATATTCTTTATCATTATTATTTTTAATGAAATGCTATATTCATAAAAGTATTTAGTTGATCCTTCAGTGATTAAATATTTTTATCATTACATTTATATAAACCAGTTTTTCTAATAAAAACTTTGTATTTGGATTTTTCTATTTTTATTTAAAATTAATGTAATGAGTTATTTTTTTAGTGTTATATAAAATAGCTCTGCCTGGCCTTAAGAACTCAAGGTCATGCAGAGAAACCTAACAGTTTCACCACTCATTTTTCTGACAGTCTCCACTGCTTTCTCTTTTAATTTTTTAACTGGACAGAAAACTTACTGATCTTGAGATACTCTACAATTTTGTAATTTTAACTATAACATTTTCTTTTATAAACCTTAGATAGGATTTACCTCCATGCAAAGAGGGATTGGAGGCACATGGCATCCAAATCTAATAGTTTTCTATATATTATTTATATTCAGTGCCAATGTATGTAGTTATTATGTAGCAGAAGCAAGATATACCCCAGTGCAATGTTTGTTTCTATATAGAAAGAAATTTGAATTATAAGAAAAGTCACACAATGTAAAATAATGTGATGTTTTTCATCATAGGACATTTATCAAACATCATATTTCAAATAATTTTCATTGCTTAGCTATAGTAGCAGAATGACCGACATTCAAAATATACCATATTGGCTTCATTTTATTTTGGGAAATATTATAGTAAAATTTATTTTCTGATTTTCAGTTTTAAATACACTCAAAAGTACATATTTTTATTTAAAAGATATATAACAATTTCAAATATATTTTGTATATTATGATTTATAACATTAATTAAATGTCATGGTATTTAGTGTTCCCATCCCTGCTTGCCAAACTGTTTTTACAAAAAAAAAATATTGGATTTGCTGAATTGAAATAAAATAGTGTTCATCAAAAAATGAATCTTCTTTTAGACTAACTTTATTATTACTTTTTATTTGGACATTTATAACTGTTTGAAGCGCATAAAGCTGTCATAGCTAAAAAGAGAAATTGCAGTGAAATACGTTACATATTACAAAATTTTGACAGGTGAAAAAACAGAATTATAGTAACTACAACTGTAGATTAATGCCATCAGACTTATTACATACTAGTGCTTATGTTTTCTTCTCTTGTGAGCATCACAGTGTTTGTACAACCTGGCCAATCTAGTGCTACAGATTTTTGATGAATTTTATCAAATTACCAAATTTTATTTTAAGAACAGAATAAAATAAAACATTTAGTTGTTATACTAATAATAATGGCTTCATATATTTAATAGTACTGCATTAACTATTATTATTTATGTCTTAGGTTTACTTATATATACTTTAATTTATTTATGAAAATTTTGTAAATATATGTTTTTTATTTTAATAAAAATATTCTTTTGTATTAATATGGTCATATATATAATCAGATGTAAACATATAAACTGTTATTAAAAATATTCCATTTTTTCTATCAGATAAATAAAATCATCTAAACTCATTACTTCCATTATATCAGGGATTACAAACTATTGGCATATGTACCTGAAATGGCACATAAGAGAAATCATCTGGCAAGTAATGCATCAAACGATTTTGATTTGTTATCTGTCTTTTTAATCATCTTTTCATTTTTTTATCTGATTACCTTCTTTTCAATCAACTTTTTTACATTTATTCTAATTAAAGCATATTCATTTAGTTTCTTTAAATATCATTATTGAAATTCTAAAATTTTGGCAAGCATAAACATCTTTAAAATTAAGTATGCTTACTATATAGCATTCAGGCTCAAAAATCTTTGCCATCCCTTCACTAAGTACAGTACATATTATATAGTGAAAGTAATGTGTTTAGATGATTTTATTTATATGATAGAAAAAATGGAATATTTTTAATATCAATTTATAAATATTTACATTTGATTACATATAGAACCATATTAAATACAAAAGAATATTTTTATTAAAATAAAAAATAAATTTATAAAATTTTCGTATTCTATACATTAATCTTTGAAATTTTTAATTGGAGCTAATGCTTTTCAATAGCCCAAAACAACTGGAGAACATAAAACAAAGCCAACACAAGCAAGTGTTAGAGAATTGAGAGGTTTAGGATTATCACCAGATCTTGTAATTATTTATTAAATTATTAAATTATTCATTAACAAATATTAACGTTTTGGAAAAATTATATACATAATTATTATTTCTAGATAGTTTGTCGAAGTGGCCAGCCTGTTACGGAAGGTGTAAAGGAAAAGATATCAAATTTTTGTCATGTTGGTCCTGATCAAGTAAGTTTAATTTAAAAATACTTCAAGTACTTCAAATTGCAAAATTAGGGAGCAACAAAACTTATAATTTGAAAATCTTCCACATTTATTCTGTAACAAAAATGCCATATAAACTTTCTATAGTCTGAGATAAAAAAAATGATTTCATTTATTATTAGGTAACCAAAAAAGTTCTGTCATTTTTTGTGAAACTACAAAGTTTAAAGAATGTTACATGCAATACACAATAGATGACACTAAAATTCCAGCAATATGTTAATCAAGATTTAATGCTGACTAACCTTATATAAAGAGAAGTGGAAAGGTTGTCTCTTAATATTATAAAAATTGACTTGAAGATGAGTACTCCAAACTCTGTAATTCGTGCTTGTATGTTGTATGAGTTTAAACTTGGAACAAGTGCTGTGCAAATATGCTGTGGCTCAAAAAATATGCCAGGCTTTTGGACAAGGTTCTGTTAGCACTCACACCACCCAAAGATGGTTTACAAAATTTTCTTCTGGCAATGAGTCGCTTAAAGATGCGCCATGAGAATGATGTTGAATTACAGGCTGCAATCGAAGAATATTTTGCTCAAACTTGTCAGATGTTAGCACAAAGGTTCTCCGTAAGTGATGAAACTGTCCGTTTACATTTGCATTGTCTTGGGAAAGTTTACAAGCTCAGTAAATGGATACTTCATCAATTGGCACCTGCCAATATTGTGCATATGGTGGACTGCAAATGGAATTGTTCACTATGAACTTATACCATCTGGTCAGACTATTACTGCTAATGTCTACAGTGACCAACTGCATTGAGTTCACCAATCACTTTTGAAAAAAACCACCAGCTTTAGTGAACCATAAAGGTGTTTTTTTCCTACACAATAATGCTATAGACATCATGTTGCGCTTGTGACCTCTGACACAATTCAGACCCTTGGATGGGAACCTCTTTTGCACCCTCCTTATTTCCCTGACATTAGCCCTTCTGATTATCACCTATTTTTAAGCCTAGATAATCATCTGCGAAATTGACAGTTTAGAAATAGAGAGGTTATAGAAACGGAATTAGGGAAGTTTTTCAACTCTAAAAATCGTGACTTTTATAAAAATGGAATTTATAAGCTTGTTTCCCGTTGGGAACAGGTTATTGAATGTGAGGGTGGTTATTTTGATGAATAAATTGTGTTANTTAGAAATAGAGAGGTTATAGAAACGGAATTAGGGAAGTTTTTCAACTCTAAAAATCGTGACTTTTATAAAAATGGAATTTATAAGCTTGTTTCCCGTTGGGAACAGGTTATTGAATGTGAGGGTGGTTATTTTGATGAATAAATTGTGTTATTTCCTATACATTTTTATGTTTGTTTTCTTTCAACAAAAAACGACAGAACTTTTTTGGTTACCTGATAATTTACTTATTACAAAATACAATGTGTACCCTATCCAATAAAATATTTTGTTAGTTGATATAAGTTATTAAATCAAATAAAATATTTTGTTAGTTGATATAAGTTATTAAAGCATTTTTGAAAATATAAAAAATCATAGAAATCTTTAAATTCATTATGTTTTCTGTTGATAAGAGATTTCAAAAAAGCATATTTATATCATTCATAAGACACAATGCTATAATTTTAAGGAGTCAAAAAATGCAACTTGTTACATGTTTTGAGACTATTATATCTCATTGTCAGATTCAAACTTATTAACATTAAAAGTAAACTTAAAAACAGAACAATAACTAGTTGAACAAAATTTAAAATAATTTATAAGTGATCTGATCATGAAAAGATGATAAACATCTTTGGTATAGAACACAAAAATTAATGGAACATAATTTACTACTGTTGAATTACATTTCTTACTTTATCTTGTGGAGAGTAAATTGAAAGGAATAATTTCACTCTACACAATATGATGAGATTCTTTAATTAAAACTGCTTTTGCTTTTTGGAAAGATAAAGCTTCTTCAGTTAAAGTTCAAAATACATTACAAATTTGAATGATTGTTTTTGAATGCTGTTTTAAATTTTAAACAAAAGTAAATTTTATAATATTAGCATTTGTTTTTCTTTTACAAAATGTTGGAGAGAGTTATACTTGTTGCAGACAAGGAATGACATAATTCCATGCAGTTGCAAGTTTTAATGTGGAAATGCTGCATGCATTGTTAGTCTTAATAATGGCTTTTGCCAGGAATAATATTTTTTGGTTTGTTGGTCTGAACAACTTTAATTTGTCCCACTTTGGTTCATAATTTTCTTCTGAGACTAGGATAACTAGTGCCATTGTTCTTCTGTATTTTGCATCTATGATGTTCTGCAATGCATTTGATTAAATTTCTCTCTGTTGTTCCAATATATAGCAAAGGTCTGCTTCCAGGTTTTCCTAGTAGTATGGCATATACTCCTGTTCTTTCTTTGTTTTCCCAAGTATGCTTATCATTGCAACACAATCTACACAAAGTTAGCAGTAGGGATGTCCTGATACTGCTGATAACAGTACTGTATCAATACATACAGTACCTTCAATACTGAATATTTTTGTACTCAATATTTTGGGTCTGATACTGATATTGGTATTTATACTTTCCTCAAATATCAGATCTGGTATCATTACCAGATCTGATATTTGAGATAAGTAAGATCTGACTGAAATTGGATTTTGCAGTCAATCAGGGCTTTGGAGTTGCATGAAAATCTACTGACTCCAACTCCGACTTTTTCTTACCATCTGACTCTGACTCCAAGCAGGGGTGGACTTGTTACTGAAAGAGATCCAGAAATTCTGATGTCATCACGTGACCTCAGAATAAAAGATTCAATAAATAGAGTTCTAATAAAGATAGAATGTAGAAACTTTTTATTCCAAAGCTAAAAGACACCTCTAAATACAGTTGACCCCCCTGTAACACAGTAAATACGTTCCGTTTTTTATGAAATTGATGTTTTTGGAGACCTTGCCAATCACAGCCCGACACTTGTGAAGTTTAAGGACTACAGCTGTTTGAAAGGTTTTCTTCCATAAAATTAATCGATTCTAGAATAATTCGACTCAACATTTCCAAAATACGTATATTTTTGGGGGGATAATAATAATCCATATAAACTATGCTACAAACAAAAAATTGTAGGATTACTTACCAAGTGTGCACTGTTCAACGTCGCCATTGCTCAAGCTTGTTTTTGTCGCGGAGCAACGCACCAAACAGTGGGTGTGATTTCTGATAAGTTATTTTTCTGCGAAAACTTCGTTGAACTTTGGAGACATCATTAATATAAATAATTTTTATGGCCGTTGAATAAGAAATGTTTCTTTCACAAGAAATGTATAAAATTAGTGCTGTATTAGACTTACGGTACCTAATTTACATACTGTACAGACGATAATAAACTCAACTTACTAGCCTAAAATCTCCGTAGCGTGTTGCCAGGCGGCAGAAAGCATATATATAATTATAATAAAGTTACAATAAATTAAGTTAATATATAATTATATATACAGTGCCTAATTTATATATAATTAATATATAATTATATGTACAGTACCTAATTTATATATAATTTATATATAATACTGTACAGACAATAGTGAACTCAATTTACCTGCCTAAACTCTCCGTAGCGTGGCGCTGGACGGCGGAAAGTAGTTTGGTTGCCTGATGACGTTTTACCGAATTATAGGAGTTTTTTTACCATGTTTGTACGGATATCATCACAGTTTTTTTGCTGTCATATAGGAATTCAAACTATAGGAACCCGTGTTATAGGGGGGTCGACTGTAATATATAAATATGTATTTGATAATTTTTACTTTTCCGGCTGTTACATATAACAGAGGGAAAGTGTAGCGCTCGGTCAAAAAAATAACCCTTCCCAAATTTTTACATTTTTGGACTCGGGAACATTGAAATTTCGAGATATGCAAAAGATTCGAGGTTTTTTCTATATGTATAGATGTTAGACTGTGTGTGTGGAGCATGATGTTGTTCACCCTGTTTGAAGCCTAATAATTCCTGTGGTAAGAATGGTCAGAATCGGAGTCAGATAGTTTAAAACAGGAGTAATTATTAAGCATCAAAGTAGTTGAACTAAATCATATCCCCATACACATTCTAACTTCTTAGGCGAGAACATCTTAATGGGTTTTACTGTACTATTATAAAATGACAAAAAAGCTTACTTTGAGGGTAGAGACAAGTTTTATTTTATTTTTTAATTTTGAATGCTAATAACAAGACATGACACATCACTACTTTTGTCTTTACCCTGTCAACCTTTAATTGAGAAAACCAAAATTTAATAGTATTAATGCCCCTTTATACACAAACTACAGTGCCACATTTCGTTTCTTAAACTTTACCCATTCTGAGATATTGTTTAATATCTCAGAACAGAAAATAAAGAAATTAAGCAAATTAGATGCCAACACACATGTGTGTAAATTTTTCCCCTTTTATTGACTTTTTTGAGGGGTTGGAAGGTCTCCAAACATGTAGATTTGCAAAAAATCTTGGAGGGTCAAATTTGACACAATTCCAATACTTTTTCGTTTTATATACGTAACAAGTTGGTAAGTAAAAAGGAGTCAGAGTTGGCAGATTTTTTGACGACTCCGACTCTGGCTAAAACACCAAAACTCCACGACTCTGACTGCGAATCTGACTCTGGCTAAAACACCAAAACTCCACGACTCTGACTCCGACTCCATAGCCCTGAGTCAAATCCAAAACCAAAACCAAATTTGGATTTTAAAGTCAGTTTCAGCCAAAACCAAATTTTACACTATTTTTGATTAAGTTAAACTTATATAGTAAATATTAATGACCAAAAATCAATAAATTTATTTCATCAATTTTCATTTTCAGAATCTTTATGTAGTATGCTTAGAGTTGAGATTACCATTTATAAATAACTCGCCAATTATTTGAAAAACTTGAAAATATATTAATATCTCAAATTAACTGATACAGTATTGGTAACATTTAGTTTAAATTAGAAATCAGTTTTTAGTTTGTTTATAATAACTAATTAGAATAAAGCTTGTTATTTATGTTAATTAAAAGTTTCAATTACACAAAATGTTTCAATATCAAGACACAGACCGAACAGCAACAGTCAGCAAGATTTCCAGTTTTGATAACTGATGCTGATATTGGCTATTATTGATACTTTTAGATGAATACTGATACAGTATTGATACTTTAAAATTACTTTTGATACTGGTATCAATAATTTTGTGGTATCAGAATGTCTATAGTTAGCAGTAACAATACTGGTAACTGGAAAGGAAAATTTTACATAATTTTAGTAATTTATGTCATATTTTCTGCAAAGGATATAGAGATGGAAGAAAAATGCAATTTATTTTGCATTTTTCTTCCATCCCTATATCCTCAGTGTAAAAGCGGTTGAGCAGTGTTCAACTTTCGACGCAAGTACGGCCGTAAAACAGTACCATCCACCAATCAGAAGTCAGTGAAATATAGGTCATTGTGACACAGTACTAAAATGGCGGAAAACGAGCTTTTGTGTATGTTCCCTCGTGACTACTCTAGAATAGATCTGGAAAGATTTATCGAAAACATCCAAAAGTATTCATGCATCTATGACAAGAGGTAACCCAATTATAATAATGGATACCAAAGGAAAATCCTTCAATTTAGAGGAGTATGTAATAAAAAAGCTAAGCTTATAAGTGCTGTATATTATCTTAATAATACGATAATAAAAGTTAATATATGAAAGTAAAGATATTATTTTTATAATATTTGTATAGTACAGAACAAACTCGTAGGATATAATCATATAATCTTTGATAGTACCGTTGCTGTAAAAACTACGCTAGCCGGACCTCCACCGCAATTCAGATGCAAACGCAAATAGGTCACGTGATTAAAAGTTTTTATGGGTTTTTACGCCTGTTTTTACACTAGTGGAGTCTCTACCTTAGAAAGATTCAGCTAAAGAATAATTGTAAGCTCTTCTTATGTGAGAAATAAATGCTGCATTGACAAATTTGCTAAACTAGTATGTTTCTTTGATAGAGAATATCAGTGGTAATTTATTTTTATGATATACACAAAACTGGAAGTTACTGTTTTGATAGGATATTAATAAATCAAGGAATGCTACTGTTGTGATGACCTTTGTTTTTAGTGTAAAGTTTATACTTGGAAAGTTGTTCTTGTTAAGGTTTAAAAATATAGTGAAATCAGCTCTTTATGCTGTCATTTAATATGTCATCTTCATACCTGTACCAAAATATGAGAAATGGAATTGTAATGGGTCTATGAAATAAGTTCTTCTAATTTCATCATAACTACTACTGATGGTCAATAAGAGTGAACCCATTGGAATGCCCATCTGTTGTAAGATTTTTTCTGTACCTAAAATAATACGTTTGGTAGATCAATCAACTACATTCAAAGTGACTTATACATTACACTTGGATATTTCATTCTCTAATAATTTTTCTATGAATTGCATTACCTCAAAAGGGTTAACAGAGGGGTATAAGATGCATACATTGATTTTATAAAACTATTGATATGTTTTGATCTACCAACTTGACTTCACAAATCTACTTATAGTTTGAATTCCTGAGTTGACTAATATAGGTCACTAACTAAGCATTGTAGGTATTGAGCAAGTTTCTTTTTTAAGTGGAACATGGGATGGTTATGCTTATTCATGACAGTTTTTAAAATACGATTATCTGTGTTCATGTGCTTTAGCTTCAAAGAATATTCTGGGTGCAGCTACACATGTTTGCATTAAACTTTGGAGCATACTGTATTGTTATTTTTGTAAATATGGCAAATACATGTAAGTTTGGTTTAAAACTTTTGTATGGGATCATTTTGTAGTTCAATGTGTTTGGTTTGTCAGAAAAATTTACTCACTGTTAGCTGGAAATTACTTACTTGTTAAAAATGTAAATGTAAATTCATTTTAACAAGTGTATGTTATTTTGTTTTTTTTTTTGGTTTAAAAAATTATTAACATCAAAAGACAGTTTTAAAATACAGATCAGGTAATAATGTCTGTTTTTTTGGGAAGAGGCTAAATTGAGAGCCACTTGATTGTGCTGCTTGTAATATATAATTTAACAAATAAAATAAGTAAATAAATAAATAAATAAATTTGGTGTATGTCATTATTTTATACTGAAAATTTTGTTAAAATAAATAATTGATTTATTTTGTTATTTAAAAATTTTTTTTTCTAGATTGAATAATATTGTTTTTAAGGTAATAAAATTATCATTTTCAATAATATTGTAAAGTATTGACCTTTTAGCAGAGAGGAAACAAAAGAAGCACGATCTTGTCAATTGGACCCACATGCGGTCGGTTAATATCACTTTTAAGGTGTTGACTTGTAAACAGAGGGAAAACAAAGGAAGCGCCGGCTTTGTCAATTGGACCCACCTGTAGTCAGACGTTAGACCGTTTGATGTATGGTAAACAACTGAATGTAAACAAGTGGCAGACATTTATGTAAGCTTCACTCTCGTCGGATGACGGCAGACCTGAGTGTAAGCTGTTCGGGCAAGAAGGGGTTGTGATTGGTCGGAAGTCCCCATTCAAAAAACCCTTAAATTGCGGGGCAAACAAGAGAGGAGGAGAGAAGGGCGAGAGACTAGTACACGGTAGTCTCAGGCACTTGGAAGGCCCGCTGAGCATAAAGAGAGTGTTCTTATCTGTTAAACATCTCAGGGACGGGTTAGTGCGGAGACTGGATGGACTGTGCAGTTGAGCCAACTCCACAAGCTGACTGAGGCCTCTCCAAAGTTTAAAAGTTCCCAGAAACCAACCTAGTATGTGAGTCACCACGCATTGTTATCCTGTATATATATATTATGTTTTCAAACTTGTACCTTCTACATATAGAATCTGTAAATAAACTGTAAATATTATCAAAATTGAGTGAGGAGGTGTGCTTTCTATCGAACCTGGATCACTACATCAAATCGTGATACACACGGAAACCAACTCAATGAGACGGAGTTGGGAAAGAACATCACTAAGATCTTCACTAATATCTTTCAATTTTAATATTTATATTTATTATTAAAAATAAGTAGTTTTAAAGTATATTATTAATGAATCCTAGTATTTAGTAAAAGAAATTGAAAATTAAAACTTTAAAAATATGGTGGCTGGATGGTCAATGTTGTTAAGGTATCACCTATCTTAAGATAGTTACCATTCTGGGGACCCAGGAGTAAATCTGTGCAAGCAACTCTAGGAATTTTTCATTGATTGCCTGTCTTGGAGGTCCCTTCCTTCACAACCTGGGTGGTCAATTGTGAAGGAAGGGACCACCAAACTGATATGGGTATGGAAAAATGACTCCCTTAGTGCCTACAGGACACAGAGAGAAAAATTAAAACAAAAATTTTAAAAGAGTAGTTTAAAATAGTACAGATGTGATCATTTTATAATAATTCAATTAGAATGTTTTTAATACCTAACAACAACTTATTTCTCTCTAGGTAATTTGCATTCCAGATGTTCCTTCTTTATATCATGTTCCATTATTCATGGAAGATCAAGGCTTGGTATCATTTTTTGTTGAAAGATTACACTTACCTGTTCCAATTCCCTATCCAAGACGTTTAATGAATAAGTGGCAAGAACTAGCAGAAAGGTCTGATCATCTGACTAAAATAGTCTCTATTGCCTTAGTGGGAAAATATACCCAATTGAAAGACTCTTATGCTTCAGTGATCAAAGCTTTACAGCATGCTTCTCTTGCCTGCAATTATAAATGTATATTAAAGGTAAAAGCATTTGTATTAATAATTGTTTTTATATAAATTCTTTAAACATTTTTATGAATATTTAATAGAATAATTTATTTATAATTACAATGGAATATTTCGAAATAATTCAGCTCTAATTTCCTATTAAAGTTAATTGATTTCTATAAATAGAGAGAAAAGTATAGTATAACCTCTGAATGGCAAACACTGTTGGACTGAGAAGTTTGTTCACTAACACTATTTAAAGGTGTTCACTATTAGGAGGTACATGCTGGCAGCAGTACTTTTAATGTGATCATCATATAGTGAAGAATACAATGGATTATGAAAACATTAAATTTGTGTTAGAAATGTGAATATGTTGAAAAGTATAAGTAGATATATTATTAAAATATTTATCTAAATATATAAAATTACTTGTCCTGACTGACTGATTGAGTCACTGATTCATCATTGCCCAGAGCAAACCGCTGAACCTAAAGAGGTGAAATTTGGTACACAGTTAGAGTACCTCATGGAAACGCACACTAAGAAGGGATTTTTTGAAATTCCCCTGCGGGGGGAGAGGGAGAGCATTAAGGCTTAACTGGAAGAACAGCTTCTACTGTACTATTTTAGATGCAATTTTTTGTTTTCAACAACATTTAATCTTCATTGAGTGCTTAGGTGTATTAAATTGATAACATTCCAGACATTGTTATAATATTTTTATATATTTTGATTTTTTTAACCAGATGTTTGAACCGTTTTAAATTCGAATTTGTTATTGCATATTGGTTCGATTATAGAACGATTGTAAACGTTCAAGAAAATTGATCAAAATAGTTCGTTTGATTCTCATCAATTCTCATCATTCAGCGATAGGTGTTATATAACAATTACTATGGTTGTTGAAATACTGAATATAAATGGGGTTTGCTTGCAAAACCTCTGCAGGCAAAGTCATGGGTAACAGCTAGTACTGTATATTATCTATCTTTTTAGCTGTAAAAATCTTGTTTTAATTGAATTCTAAATAGCAAACAGGTTAGACAGTATGCTTTAAATGGAACATAAAAATTATGTCAAAACATAACTGTTGATTAATTATTAATTCATGGAAAACAACATGAGTAGAATAACAAAAAAAAATAAAATAAAATGAAACTGTTGTTACAAACAGAAGGGTGATGAAGGTTGGTTTAAATAGTGAAAGTTCAAATGTCCAGTTATGAAGACAATTTGCTGGTCACTTTGAGGGATGGGAAATGTATTCAGTATTCTTGCATTTATAACATCATTTATGATCTAAGTTACTAATAAAAATTGATATAGTGATTTGTCTGCTTTGTAATTATCGAGTAGGTGAATTTTTTGAACATTTTTGCTTTTTTCAATAAATGATTATAAATTAGTTATAATCATATAACTAATATAAAATAGTTATAAAATATTACATCTAAGTCACCACAAAACTGTTAAGATTATAAATGATGTCATAAATACCAAATTTCTTCACACACTGTAAAGTGGCTGACAAAATCATTTTTACTATATAACTTTTGAACTTTTACCACATAATTGTGCTGTCATAATTGTTTGTAAAAACACCACATAAACCCACTGTTTTACAAATATATAAATAATCATATTGTTTTTCAAGTAGCCTGTGAAGAAAGATCAGAAGAAAATTATGATTGTTGTTATTCATTTTGTTTCTTTATTCTTTAAAATAAGACTATTTCTCTATAATTTCTTAAATTTTATATATAGCTACTAAATAATCTATTAAATATCTTTTTAGTAAACTGCTAATAATAATAAAGAGAGTAATAATCAAAACATTTTAATCTTAATTATTCGATAAAAATTTGAAATGTTACATTAAATGTTAAAATGTGATAAATTTATAAATTTTTGTAGAATTAATCACTACAGCTCAGTTATATGGTTTAATTTCTAAACTTTAAATTTCTTAATAGTATGTAGAGGCTGAAGATTTGGAAGATTCAATGAAACAAAAGAATCCTGTTCGTTATCATGAAGCTTGGCAACAATTGTGTGTTTCAGAGTAAGTAATTTATTTGAAAATGTTATTTTAAAAAATTTGCTTACATTATATCGAAGAGGATTGGGAAGATAAGTGAACCTCGCAACATAACTACTAATGTGCACCTTCTTAAAAGTCATCATCTTCTATATGACCAGTCAGGTTCCAGGCACTATCATCATCTTATGTCGTAATCTTCTCTTGAAGGACTACCTAAATATTTGAATGGTAATCCTCATTCGAAGGACTACCTCGAGTGGTGGGAAAATGCCCCTATATATAGAATTCATAAATTTCATTGACCAATAATTCTGTAAGTTTTCAAATTACACATGTGTTCTTTATATTTTTAGTTTCAAAATCTAAAAACTAATGATTTTGAAATACTAAGCTTTGATTGGTCAATTTGTATTTAAGATTAAGATGGTTACTTTAAGTGCAAAATGCCATTAAAATTTGGTATTTTATGTTGTGCAATAATTCTAAATAATACCAATTTCATCTAATTTGTGATTGGCATCTCAGTGTAAACCCAAAGAAAGCAAAATATTAGACATGAAATAGTTTCCTAATCTTAAATTTTGAGTTAGTGAAATATAATTGTAAAACTACTTTGATTTATAGAAACACAATGTGTTGGAAAAAAATAAAATTTATGTTAAGCAACTTTGATTTATTGAGTCTACTGTATAAAAGTTACAATTTAGAAAAACACTTTACAAAAGCTCTTAATTATTCTTAGGGTTCTGTTTAAAAATAATTTTAATTAATTAGTTGTTTCTCTTTGTAAAAAGATACTCCTTAAAAAGAATCAGACAAATTTTCAACCTGGATCTTAAAACAGAAGTAATGATAATAAAAATCTGTTTAGAAGAAATCTAATCTGTAGTAAATTATTTTAAGTGGAGTAAAAAAATTAATGTTAATTGGATCAATACTGAAAATATTTTCAAATAGCATAAAATGATAGCTTGATTGACTGTATAGTAAGATAACAAAATAACTCACATTGGCTTAGTCAATGTGAGTTATTTTGTTTGGAGTTCTTTGTTACTTTATTATGTAAAAATTGTCTATAAACATTCTTTTATTTCTATTAATTATAATTTATTTGTTAATTAATTAATTAATATAGATTCAATAACATCTTGTTATTTGAATCTATAATAGTTTGAAAGCAATTAAATTAAACTCATGTTTTATCATGTAGAGTACAGGGTGATAAATGAGAAAGAAATAATGAATTTATTAGTAAAATATTTTTTAAAAATTATAAGAAATGGTTATTTATCATTTACTGAAATAATAGGGTACAGTGGAACCTCGGTTATACGTTTGCTTTAGAATACATCCAATTCCGAATACGTCCTGTTTGGACGAAACAAATTTTGCTCAGTATACAACTTTTGTTCGGTATACGACTTAATTCAATTATACGCGCCATCTATGAACAAGTAGCACTATCAGTGTACNGTTAATGTTTCTAAAATAAATCTAAAAACATTGTTCCCAGTATATCGGTAGCAATGTTATTGTTATGTTAATAAATAAAGAAATAATCTAACATGATTGACTTTCTTAAATGCTTATAGAAACGTTGCAGTTATATATAACTTTTTAATCAAAAACATTCAGTTGCTTTCCGGGCAAAATTATTTATGTTTAAGAAACATATTAGAGAAGTTTTAAAAAAAATTATGTGGCGTTAGCTGCTATGAGATTTTATTTAGAAAATAACGTTTATGTTGTTAGTTATAATTAAAAAAAAAAAAGCTTAATTTAGAGGATAAAGAAGAGATTTTTATTTTAGTAAACTAAAATTTTGTACGAGAAAAAAATTTCATAACTGAAACTTTTTGAGATATGAATCCATCCCTTAATATCTCCCGAACCAATCGACTGATTTTCCTAAAAATTTCTGAAAACATTTTCCCCTAATATATAAACCCCTCTCATCACAGAAATTATTAAGTTTTAAAGTAGATGGAAAAAATCCTGCAACATATACACACAGACACATCCATACATAGGATCATTTTTTAACCGATCTCTAAACTTTTCCTCTGTTATACAACATCCGGGAAAGATAAAATGATTTCAATTAAAGTATGAACAAGTTTCACAAGTTTTAAAGGAAATAAACTATAACAAGCGATCAGTTTATTAATATTTAATTTGTTAAATACAACACACGGCGTTTACTGACGAAGTAAATGTTTAATCATTTTGTATGCAGGATGTAGTAGTGACAAAAAAAATATTGAAATTCGGAACATTTTCTGCTAGAAAACTAAAGTAAAATAACGTGTAATAAAATAAAATAAAATAATACATCGAATCCAGACATTCGAAAAACCCCCAGGAAGTTTTTGGAGAGTCGTCTGTCCCAGATATGTCGAGCCCCATCTTTTACCATCCGATCCTCCCATTGTGATCCTGGCGAACCCACGATGGGCTTGTAAAGTAAAAAAGTCTTCTTAGTGCCCACAGAGCGGAAAGAGTAAAAATAAATAAATAAATAAATAAAATAAATCGTAGATAAAATTAATAAAATAAATAACTACAGAAATAAAGTAAAAAATAAAAATAAACAAATAAATGTCTGTTAAAATTAACTTTCTTAAAAGGACTGCCATGTGGTAGACAAGCTGTCTGTGTCTCTATGGTTGATGCAACCGGATTTTTTGCATGCTTTAAAAATCTCCAATTTTTCCAGATATCTCATAGTGTGCATATTAGATGTGGATCTGATGATGGTTGCCGTCTCCCATTGTACTTGTGTGTCCTGATGTTGCGAGTAAGCTGCCAGTGTCGTATTATCAAGATTTTTATCAATTGTGTATATATGTTCTTTGAGATGTTGTAAATTATGCATAGTGGCACCCATGTAGACCAGTTTTGATTTGAAACATTGGACAATTAATTTGTAATAAAAAATTATTAAAAAATATCACAAACAAACAACTAAAATAACAATTAATAGTAAAACATCAACAGCACACCACGATATATAAAACTAACCTCCAAAAAACCAAAAACAGTGCGTTTCCTCCAATAAAAAATTGTCACAAATGTTTTCAAACATAAAGTTCTTCCTCAGGTGAAAAACGGACCAACATTTGAAGAAAAATTCGATGGAACACTTTCTGAAAGAGCTCTGTAAAAAATGATTCAAAAGAAACCTCATGCAGGTGACAACATCGTTGCGCATGCGCCTTCCTCAAAAGTAGCAATTTCTTTAACATCTGTCGTAAATAAATGCTTGCCACGCTGTGGATAATGATAACTCCTCCTTACTGTTAATACACTTATTATCTTGGGCAGTTTTGTATATATAAATTGCCTCCATCCATCTCAAATGCTCCATATGCTGCGTGGTGCAGATGATCTTGGCCTTGTCAAATATTGGCTGGAAATCCGGATCTGTGGCGTAACATGCCAAAGTGGTTGTAATTCTCTTGTGGAGTATGTCTGCCACAGATGTGTTGTTTCTTTAATCAAAGTTTTTTCGATAAAATCCAGTACTGTGACATGCATTCCAGTAGGCTGTCAGATACATCTTTTTGTTTATTTCCTTTTTACATGTTATCTAATATTTTATTATTCTCTTCCAAAGAAAACTGCTTTTGTTTTTTGTTTTTCTCCATTTTTTTTTCTTTTCTTTTGTAAACTAAAAAGGAAATAAACTGTAGAGTAATAACATCAAAACAAAACCATAACTAAGGATTAAAATTAGTGTTGCCAGTTGAACTAGACATTAAAATTAATGTTGCTAGACTGACATAATATTCATCATTTATTAAAATGAATGATTTATGCATTTATAGATTTTGTTATAATGAAACTATTCTTTTGTGATGGACAGAATTTTTTATTATGTTAAACTGAAATTTTCATTATAATGGTATTTGTTAAATTGAAACATTTTTGCATTGAATTGAACAGGAAATTGGTGGGGGATTCAAGATATATTCATTATACTAAAAATTTCTTTAAACTGGCATTCATTATACAAATATTTCACTGTATAAGTTTTACATATTGAAATATAAAGTATGAATATTGTGAAATTAATAATGTTATGATGGAATATTTTATTTAGGAGTGTGCTTGGGACTTCAATGTGCTGTAATTGAATTTGCCCGAAATGTTCTAGACTGGAAAGAAGCTAATTCTACAGAATCTGATAGTGAAACAGTTAAACCTGTGGTATGTATTATCTCCATTATTTAATTTTAAAAATTAATAAATGCATTAATATTTTAATACTTGCAGGTAATAGATATGCCAGAACATAACCCTGGAAAAATGGGTGGCACTATGAGATTGGGTAAACGACAAACTTTATTTAAAAATAAAGATTGTATTTTAAGTAAGTTTTTTTTTATTAATTGTTTTTAAAACTTAATAAACAAAAGTATTTTGCTTTTTATATTTTAACTGTTTTATTATATGTAAATCCATCAAAATTTCTGAACTTTTACAATTTCTTAAATATTTCATTTTTACAAATTTGATAAAATTTTCATGAATTTTTATTAAATTTTTATTTAATATTATACCAAATAACAATAAAACAGTATCAAATATTTTTGTTAAACATTTGCTCTTTAATTAGAAATAACTAATGAGAAATTAATCTGATTTTTATTTTTGAGTTATGGTTATTGTTTAAATTATGATTCATTTGTGTCATTATATCTACTTTGTGTTTTGACTGTTAATTTAAGAATAAAATATAAACTGTCTGGAATGAAAAGTCTCATTTTTTCCCCTTAATTAACTGTAAATGTTTTAAAAATTTTTAGTTTGATTGATTTTGAAAACAATAAAATACAGCTTAAAAATTTTACTGATTGAAATCATTTTCAGATTTTAATGATAATTTATTTTAATGAATAAACACTCATTTTATCTATTTTGCTTTCAAGTATATTAACATGTAAATAGTTTATTTAAATTACTAATATTAGGCTTATTATTTGTATTAAAGAATTATGATGCTAATATATGATGCTTATATACATAAAGAATTATGATAATTATGATGCTTATATACATTTTCAAATTTCTGATTGTAAACAATTTAAATGAAAAAATATTTGATTATAGACCTATTTTCTCATCAGTTATATAAAATTATACTTATTTAATTAATTGCATGTTTTTTAAAAGTAGGTTTGTTATTAAAGATGCAAATATATAATTGAGAAAAGTAGAAATACAGCAGAGTGTCATTTATCCGAATCAATTGGGGACTGAGGTTGTTCGGATAACTTATTTTAAGAATAACCGATTATGTACGAAAAAATATCTCATGTTGAAATTTTTCTCCGTTGTGTGTCACTTCGCGTTGAATTTTCGTCAATGTTAAGCCTAATGTAAACTTTTTAAAATAATAATCGTGGCTATTGTATCATTAAAAATTATTTCTTTATTTTTTATAAACAAAATAAATATATTGAAAAATATAAAAACAAAAAAAAATTATACTTTAGAAGTTAATCTAGTATAAAAAATGTTTGATTCAGCACAACACAGTCCTCAGAAAAACACCACACAAAAGTGCCAGGGCTGCCAGCTAAAACACACATCAACAAAAAAATATTGGAGTAGCCCAAGATATAGCCAAAGATTGCAGCGCCACAGCACTAGTGAAAATTTAAATTTGCCAACTGGAATTCTTTCGGATAACCGACTTTCGGAAAAACGACGCTCTACTGTATTATACAAATACATATTTACAAATTTTATACAAATACATATGATACAAATAAATATTTTATGAATTTGTGATAGAAAAAGAAAATATAGAAAATTATGCATGCATTTTTAAATAGTATTCAGTTTTTTATATTTATTTATATTCCTGATAATCTATATATGTATAAAAATGAATGTGTGTGTGTCTGTCTGTCTGTCCTTCATGCATTATCACACCGTTTATCCGATTGCTGTGAAACTTTGGGAAGTTGTTTAATATACTCCCATGAAGGTTTCTGGCATAGTATGATTGCCATGAAACTTTGGAAAGTTTTTTAATACACTCCCGCAAAGTACATTTATCCTATGATAGATGGCGCACGTGTATACGAGCACTCTGTGTTCTCTGTGTTCGATCGATTTCAAATTGTGAAGACCATTTCTCCCCTCCAAAAAGTATCTCTATATATGCATTTGTTATTTATGATATTTGTAATAATTTTTGTTTAATATTATTTTAACCTTTTTTTATTTTTTGCTAATTATGAATTCACTCGAACTTTGTTAAAACCTTAACTGTATCCCGAACAACAACCGAAGTTTAGGAGGAAATTCGCCTATTTTACCGATCTAGGGATCCCTCCTTTTCCAAATAATAATATCAACTCAAAATAATTTAAAAAGACAAATTACAATAAAACGGTTTATTATCCAACTATCAGAAATTTCACAACAAGCCAAGGAAGAGAGGAAGGAGCAATTAAATAATCAAAATTATAAAGGATTTTAAAAAATATATCAAAATGGGGAATATTGTACTTCTAACAATCTCTGCGAGTATGTGGGCTAAATTTAAAGAATCCATGCTTCTCACATGTACAACTGTATGTGGCCAGCTCACGCGTCGGAAAACTTTCTAATTTATCTTTAAAGGAGGAATCTAAAAATTTTTAAAGGGAAAGGAGGAGGAAGAGCCACCAGAGTTGTTTCAGGGTTTGGCTTCCTGCTGAAACAAGGTTGAAGAGAATTGATGAAGATAGGACTTACACTAGCAGGAATTTAAAGAACTAGAGGAGAGACATTTACAGCAAGAAAAAGAACTCAAAGAAAAGAGACTACATATGATGGATACTCTCCTGGAAGTTCTTAAAAATGTTTCAGAAAAATAAGTTTCAATTACCATCATAAAAAGGAAAAAATTTTTCTGACCCACTTCTTATGATATGACAATAAAGTTATCAATTCATGGTGATCAAAACCTTATAATCTGTTTGTCCTAACTTTTCTTTTGCAAACTGGAAGTCATGTTCAATTCAAAAATTGTCCCCCAAAAGGAGTTAGATAGAAGGCTGGCATGACACTTTGCTAACGGAAAAATATGATGTACAGTGGCAAGACACTACTAATTTGAGGTGGAGAGCCTATATTTTAAATTAAAAAATTAAAAATATGATTAAAAATTGCAGCCTGGAATTGTGACGATGTGACAATAAAAAATTGCTCATATTTTGTATGTTGATTTTCTGATTTCACCAAATTTCACACAGAATTTTATTGCACAACATTGTTTTGAATGCCATTGTTCCATTTATGTAGTGAAATATTTGTACACACACTAGAGTAAATTCACTATAACTTTGGACTATTATCAAAGCTAAGCAGCTTTTCATACATTTATTATTATAATGTATAATAATAATTTTTTAAGAGTAATTAATTAAAAGTTTAACATATTATGCCTACTCTGTACTATATTTTCTCATGAATTACTTATTAGTGTTCAGCAGTCCATAGTTTTTACAATGGTCCAAAGTTAAGGTAAACTTTGCTATAGAATGAAACACTAACAAGTTACAGCTTGCACTGAATGTCAAGTAGAAGTGCTTTTTTCAGATAGTGTTGGTTTCATGGTTACATGTTGCCACTTCATGCACTATGTCTCATTACTTTTCTGACCTATCTAGCATATTTATGTAGTTATGTAAATGTTTTTATAGATATATAATAGAATTTTAATGAATTTAAATCATATAATTATATTTAGTGTTATTAATAACTTTTATCAGGAAAACTTTATGGTAATCAAGATTATATAGAAGAACGTCATCGACATCGTTATGAAGTAAATCCAAATTTTGTTGCTGATTTTGAAAATGCTGGTATGTTGTTTGTGGGACAGGATATCAGTGGCCAAAGAATGGAAATTATGGAATTACAAGGTATTAAGAAACAAGGTGTAGTTTGTATGTAATTATTTTTATTCAAAGGCTTTTCTGTGGACAGTTACAAAAACTTTGATTTTTTTTTGTAATCTAAAACGGAAACTGTAAGGCTTGCTCCTATGTTGTTATATAGTAGGTTACATCAGACTTAAGCAGTTGCCCTGGACAAACTGCAACATAAAAATTTCTCTGACACTGCTTTGTAAAAGATAAGTGTCATGTGAGTTTTTGATGAGAATGACAAATACTCATTTACAATCAACTGAACTTTTATTAAGTTCAAAAATAACAAGAGAATTTTCAATCATTACAAGATCATTGTTGAACATGTAAGAAAGTATCATCCTAATCTTGCCTGAAGGATTAAGTGTATTTTTAAACTTGGTTGCTGGACTGTATGACCTTGATATCATTTCTCTTTTCAACTGGTGATAGCACACATTGGAAGGGACTAGAGCCATTCTTTGAAGTTTAATGATTTCTTTAAGGATTCTTCAAATGTCTTTGCTTTCTTTCTCTCTCTATTTTCTTTTTCATTTGACTGATGATCCTCAATTCATTTTTGCTCCAACTCACTAAGTGCAACACTCTCAAGGTGAGTGAATGAGTCTGTTGTCTTTATGTCTTTCATTCTGTTCTTTTCCTCCAATCTCATGGTTCTTTTCAAAGTATTAACCAATCAAGGTTGAAGTTTTACTCAACTGGTCCTTCTAGACTAACAAAACAATTTTACTGTTTTTACCATTTTTGGGTAAAAGGATAGCATATGACACAGCCAGCTATTGTCTAGGTTGATCACTGAAATGAGTGGAAAAAACTTCTGCAAAGGGAGTTAGGCCTAAGTGAATTTGGTTCTTTGTTCCAACTAACCAAGTTTATTAAATGTAATAAATTAATTACTTAATTTATAGCATATTTTTGTCTACCATGAACAAATTTCTAAAATATAAAAAAGTCAAAATTTCCTGTTATAAATGGTTCAATCTTTATTTAGAAAAATTAAGAAATCATTTGAGAAAACAATGGAACAAATGGAAAAGATTAGGCAATCGTAGAGATCTATACTTACACCAAATCATCCAAAAACAGTTCTATCAGGAATGCAATCTTTCATTTCATATTTATTTTAACAATGTAGTTTCATCATTTGCATATGACCCCTGTACTTTTTGGAGTTTTATCCCTAATTTTTCTAAAAGAACTTCCTCCAAATCTACAGCTATTCCAGATGAATCTGTTTAAGATATATAATGATTTTAAACACAGTTTTCCCATTTACAGACCACTGCCAATTTCAATCCTCTTTTCTTCCATATTTTTAGATATCATTATTCTTTTCTTTTTCTGAAGTTATTAAAGCTATTGATTTCCTAAATATTACTACAAAAAACTTTTAACATATAAACATTAAATTATATACGTATGTCTTATATACGTATGTATAATTTAACGCTTATATGTTAAAAGTTTTTCGTAACAAATGATTAGCGTGCTGTCTATCACTATATTCTAAATATTACTACTTTTAGTCCAGATCATATCCCAGCAGTCTTTTATAAAAAACTAAAAGCCTCTTCTGCTGTTGTTTTTTTCAGAGTTTTCTCAAGAATAACTCAGTCCAGCTTCATTCCTTAACAGTGACTCATCTCTTCCTCTCTTCCATTAATGCTACATCAAAAAAAGATAAAAAAATCATTTTGTCCAATTACCATTTTTTCAGCCATGTTAAAAAGTTTGAAATTTGCATTTACTGTAATATATATGATTCAATTTCCTCAAAACTTCTCCCAATTCAATACTGGCATCCATTATCACTCTACCATGACTAATCTATTAGAAACTATTCATTTAATACTAAAAAATTTGAACATAAATGCTGTTTTTGTTATTTACATAAATATCTCTCAGGCTTTCAATTCCATTCTTCCCAATATACTATTAAGAGAACAATTTGATTTAGATCCTGTATTTCATTCTTGGTTAAAAAATTACTTTCTTGCATGCTCTAATAAAATTAAAATAGGTGAGTTTGAATTCCTTGATTCCCATCTGATTGTGGCATCCAACAAGAATTAATTCTAAACAGCCTCTTTTCCTCAGTTTATATAAATAACATTTCCAGCCATCTTAATTCACATGTTATAACCTATGCTGATGACATTAAACTAATAAATTATGACCCTGTTTCTCTATAATCAGATTTAAACATACTATCCAAATTATTTGAAATGGCCAGGTTAAGAATTAATACCCAAAAAACAGTCACAATGTGCTTTTTGTTAACCAGAAATTTATCCCTCCTGTCCTTCATTATTCATACCAAATGTATAAATTATGTCAACTCTGTAAACGATCTAGGTGTTGTTTTTTATAGTAAACTTAGTTTCAAAACTTATGTTGAAAGAATAGTTAAATCCCTTGCCATTGTTGTGGAATCCTATGGAGATTTTGCCATTTGATATCTTCTAAAATTGTTTTACTATCCATTTTCTTCACTAATTTTCAGTTGCTTATTGATTATTGTATACCATTCTGGTCGATGGCAGCCCCCTTTCAGTTAGAGAAAATCACAAAAGAACTAAATAAAATATACCTAACCTTAAATAAATTCTGTAATTTATTTTTTACTAGCCACCCTAATGTTGCTAGGTCCAGATTGGGTTTTCCTTTATTTACTAATTGTGTAAAATATTTTGATCAGTTATATCAATTGATATTACAATGAATACGTAATGTTTGAATGGATTAGATTAAGTGTTCCCTCATGCAATTTTCATAATTTTTCAAATATTCATACACCCTAAAAAAGGGTATTTTAGATTATCTCTATCTCAAAGATCTTTTTTTATTCCAAACACTTATTACTTACACACTGATTATTGTTGTTTCAGAAAAGCATGTAAATGAATATTATATAATTATTAACTTTTTTTATTGTACTTTTTTTATGTTACTTTTTTATATTTTGTACTTTTTAATTTTTTTTAATTGTATTTTAATTAATTTTTTTTCAATCATTGTTTTTATCTGTTTTTACGTATTTTATTTGGGGTTTAAATGTTAATTACAGGCAAGAAATCTATTGTTACAAGACTTTTCTTAATGTGATTGAAATAAATAATATTGTTAATAAAGATTATTCTCAAATTTGAATCCTCATAAAAGTAATGATATATTGTGTTGCATGTATATTGTTTATAAGATTTTTATAGCTTTAAATTGATAAAATGGATTCAAATGCAACTATTTTTAAAAGTTTTATTTAAATTTATTTGTATTAAATAAAAAATCCTGTTAATAATAAAATATTTTAAAATTTAACTTCTACATCTATGCCATTTTTATCGTTAGGTCATCAATATTTTGTCGGTGTTCAGTATCATCCAGAATATGTTTCACGTCCTCTGAAACCATCTCCTCCATATTTGGGACTTATTTTGGCTTCATGTGGTAAGCTGAATTCTTATCTATCTCGTGATTTTCGACTCTCACCACGATATGGCAGTGAAGTGGAAAGTTCAGATGATGAAATTGCAGTTGTGTTGACACCATGTGACATGGGTGATTCTCAAAGTAGTGTTACGATTTTAAGCCCAAATACAGATGGAGGATCTTCATAAATTTTATTTTGTGACTTATTAAAGTTCTGAGGAATATTTACTTTTTTATTTGTTAGTCATAATTTAAAAAGAAAAGACTGGTTTTAAAGGTAAAATAAATAATATATAGTTTTAATTATACTTATCTTCAAACATTTTATAAACAATACTTTAAAACTATTTACAGTATTTATTTATATAAATCAATAATCTAAAATCATGTCATAAGAAATTAAATGAGGATAATTTGCTAAAAAATTTTTTATTTACCTATTAATCATTGAAACTAATTCATAAAAGTGGGTTCAATTATAGTAATAGTGTTGAATTTTTTGGGTTGCAAAATAATTTTTTTAAATTAGACATTGCTCTTGAAGATTTGTGAAGAAAAATTGTCTTGTTTGATTTGGAAATAGGTAACAGTGTGGTTATAGAATATGTATTGCATAAACATATCTTAATATCTGTTTTGGACAATCTGTTTTTGAACACACACTATTATCAGACACATTCTAAAATCACAGAAAGTATGAATAAATAATTTTGTATTGGAATGAAGAATGTGCTATATTTTAGATATGACTGTTACAAGAAATTATATTTTTTTTAAATAGAAATTTAAACCTTAAAAAGTGCCTGAAACTTACATTGCATTTACTTAAGAATATTATAAATTTTCAACAGAATATCATATTAAAATATTTATTAAAATTAATATATAATTTGCAAATAATAATAATATTTAATTTTTATTTAATTACATGAAATAGTCAGTTGAATAATTTATTATCCATGTTCTTAAAGTACAAACATTATTTTGTATTTAAACCATGGTTTTAAAATAAAGCTATTAATATTTTAAAAGCTTGGTTTTTGTTTTAATTGAAATTCTTGGCTATATATAAGAATTTTTTAAATAAATATTTTAAACATATTCAATATGTTTGAAATTTTTATGTTAGAAAATGAATTGTTTCTGTCTGGAATTAGTTTTCTTTATTAGATTACAGAATAAATATGAATATATTTTCCAAAAGAAATTTCCAGTTTTCAACTTACAGATTTTTAAAATGAGCTTGAATTTCTACATTATGTTAGATATTTTTTATATTTATATATACAATGAAATCTGGATTTAGCAGACACTGGATTTAGAGAACACCTATACTTAAGTAGACAGAATGTCTGTTCTCAGCATAATAATAAACTATTAACATAGTATATTTTCACCTCAATTAACTGAACACTGCTTTTTGTGATAAACAGATAAAAATTTTTTATCTTTTCTGTTTTTTAAACTTCTGTTAAGTGTATAGTACAATTTTATAGAATATTTTAATGAATATTGTTTAAAAATACTATACTTTCCTTCAGTGTCATTTTTTTATAGGAGTTGTGTTTCCTTAAACTTGACAAATGAGGTTTTCACAGTTTATTTTTAAACAGTATCATAACATTCCATGTGTGAAACATTAGTAGATTGGCATTGGCATTTCTCCCTTGCATAATAGAAAGAAGAATTAAGTAATTTTGAGAATTTTGAAGAAAGGAAAAATAATAGAAATGAGTAATTATTTAATAATATTTAATTTTTATTTAATTACATGAAATAGTCAGTTGAATAATTTATTATTCATATTCTTAAAGTACAAACATTATTTTGTATTTAAACCATGGTTTTAAATACTGATGGGCTGCAATTTTTAATCATATTTTTAATTAATTTAATTTAAAATGTATGCTCTCCATCTCAAATTAGTAGTGGCTTTTCCCTGTACACCATACTTTTCCTTTAACAATACAGTTGTGCTGGTCAGCTATCTAACATCTTTCAGGGGCAAATTTTGAATCAAAATAACATGACTTTCAGTTTGCATCAGAAGTTTATATATAGATAATCAGAGTCTTCTGCACCTAAGGTTTCCATATCTGGTCTTGGATTTCATCTGTCTAACTCCATTCTCTAGATCAGGGATGGGCAACCTTTTTCTATGTAAGGGCTGTATTTTGAAACTTTTGAAATGGCGCGGGCTGCATAACTGAGAAAAGAGAAGAAAAATGCTGGTAAATCACAATTATTTATTCATATATAATTTTAAATTAGCATAGGTATACTTAATTTAGCTTCTGGAACTGATGTAAACATAATATGAGGTCTGCTCAAAAAATATGCAGATTGACGTCATAAAACAAAATGTACTTTATGTAGAAGTTACATGTCTGGGTCCCCTTCAAAGTACTCTCCTTCCCAATGCACACACTTATCCCAACGGTGTTTCCACTTGTCCCAACGGTGTTTCCACTTGTTGAAACAGTCCTGGTATGCTTCTTTTGTAATGTCCTTCAGCGCCTTCATCGCATCTGCCTTAATCTCGGAAATCATCTCAAATCTTCTTCCTTTCAAGGGTCTTTTGAGTTTGGGGAACAAGAAAAAGTCACAAGGAGCAAGGTCAGGTGAGTAGGGGAGTGGGGAAGAAGAGTGATCGAGTGTTTGGCCAAAAACTCATGAGTTCTGAGGGCTGAATGGGCTGGAGCATTGTCATGATGGAGAAACCAGTCACCACTCCTCCACATTTCTGGCCTTTTGCAATGGATGGCATCCCTCAGACATTTCAGAACTTCAATGTAGTAAGTCTGGTTCACTGTGGAGCCTTGGGGGAGGTACTTGTGGTCAACAACACCCTTAGCATCAAAGAAAACTGTCAGCATCACCTTGACATTAGATCAAACTTGAAACATGCCGTACGCTTCATAGCAACATCACCGTAAGCTGTGTTGAGCATAGCAAATGTTTCAGTCGCAGATTTTCAAAGTTAATCACAAAATTTCACAGCAAGTCGTTGCTTCATCAGGTCATTCATTCTGAAATCCGACAAACGAAAAAATCGCATTTCACTAAAAACCACATAGCTAATCAACAAATAAAGATACCTGTAATGGGGAAATGGCTTTATCACCAGACGATCTGTACAAATCTAGCAACACCAAGTGGATTTGGATTCCCCTGGAACCAACTGGAGCCACGCAATTCAAACAGTCAGTATATTTTTTGAACAGACCTCGTATATCAAAAATTATTTGGTTAAATATTAGTCACCACTAGCTTTAAATTAGTTTTGATGTGTCTGTTAGCCGGTTTCTTGTTTTAATTTTTACTAAATTCATTGTGGGAAAAACTAGTCACATACATAAGTTGTAGAAATTACATTTGAATTTTTGCTGCATACTTCCTTAAGCTGGGAAATTGATATATTTATTCATATTTTATGCAACGAGGGCCGCAAAAATATTAGTGCAGGCCGCAGGTTGCCCATCCCTGCTCTAGATTACAGAAAGACGGATGGACAGACAAACAATAGTAGGAGGTCTACAATTTTTTCAAATTGCAGTCCAACAAAATAATTAAACAAGTCATATGGGGAAGTTTTAGATATCCTGTTTAGCAGATTAGCAGATGTGGATAGCATAATTAATAATGTCATATGCCTGGCTTGAAGAAGCTGCAGTTTAGAGTTTCACTGTGCATGTCAGATCTTTTCTTCATGATTATTTTAAATTACTTAATTATTAAAGTTTTTGATTTAGCTTAACACTTCTAGTGTCAAATTATGTTAATTAGTTATTTCATAAAAGTAGTCCTACAATTTTGATAATTCTTTGAATATTTCTGATGATTATTCTTATCACACTTTCCACAAAACAATGATTATCAATTTTTTAAAAAATTATCAAGTGTTGCAAAATATGCAACAATGTTTTAATGGTTACCTGTTTTATGTGGACACTTGTCCTAAGAGGATAAAGTCTCCAGTTGATAGAGTGTTGTTTAAATCCAGATTTTATTGTATATAACTTAGTCTATATATGTTTTATAACTGTGTTAAATTAATAACTTATAAAGAACAAATGCTACTTTTTTAAAATTAATTATTTGCTGAAAGAGTATAAATCTGTTTTTCATACAGAAGAAAATAATTTACCCATTTATATCTGATCTTTTCAAGATGCTGGATACCCCAGACATTCTGGATTATTGAGTACAGGATTAAAAAATTTATGTTACTAGCTTTTTACTGGGCTATTTTTAAGTTATACAGAATTTAATTAACAGAAGAATTTGATATTAAATATAGGCAGAATCTTATAGTAACTTTAATAACTATTTTTAATTTAATTTATTTTATAAAATTGTAATATACTTTTGAATCTCTCTGCTTCTAATATCAAATATCATTAATTAATTAATTTTTTATTGGCTTAAAATTAGTCTAGTAAAAATCTTGCACATTATCATTATTTGCTTTATTATTTAATTTCGTAAAATATCTATAAATGAAGCAATTACATTGAAATATTATTTCCTTAAAAATTTATAAAATGCTTCTTTAAGCATTTTAAATTGTCTGATTAAACTGATAGATATTATGATTTTGAACAGAAAATATCTTCTAAAATTTTCAAGAATACTGAGAGCTGTAAAATTGAATTAGACTTTTTTATTCATAAATTTCTGTTATCAAGCATCATTAATAATAGATTGAATCGGTCAGGGAGATTGGTGCGTTTTTGTTAACACTTCGTTTTACTGAGGAATATTTTGTTTATTGTGTTTCTCGAATTTTATTTCTACAATGTTTAATTTAAAATTAACCCAATTACTACTACTAATGTCCGGAATTGAACCGAATCCAGGCCCTCTTCAGAAAACGCCACCCAAAAGAGGAAGACCTCCAACAAACCGAACAACGCAATCGTCATTCAACACTAAACCAGCTGAAGGTGAAATCAACTTAATTACCGAATATATTCAACAAAGAAGAGCAGAGTCAACTATCCAGGTTAGTGAAAATTCTACTTTGAACCCTTCAACCGCAACTTCAAATGTGGAAATATCAGACACTTCAACCTCACTTATATGGTCGAAGATAGTAGATCTGATTACGTCTAGTAATGAAAAAATAGAAAGTCAATTTGCTTTAATTCACAAAGAAATTACCACCATTCATAATGAAATCAGTGACTTTACTGGACAAATTCAAATCATTAAAGATAGAAACGATAAAATCGAATCGGAACTTAAAAATTTAAAAAATCAGAATGAACT